GGCAAAAACCAACATTTAACCCCTTATCTTACAAAGTTGGTAGATTTTAGTTCCTCACCTTATAATATGATAGTTTTAACCCTTTATCTTACAAAATTGGTAAGTTTTAGCCCTTCACCTTACAAAGTTGGTAGTTTTTAACCCCTTACCTTATATTATGATATTTTTAGCCCCTCATTGATATGAATTAAAGAAAATAGCCCTCACCTAATATCAGGTTATAACGTTCTGTTAGTTTTGTTAGTTGACTGTTAGTATCCGTTAGCATTTTGTTATAAAAAATATGACATTTAAATTTAATTTTATTTGTTAGTTCCATTAACGGAATATTAACGAATACTAACAATTAACTAACAGAACTGACAGTCAGTTAACAGAACTGACAGTCAGTTAACAGAACTAATAAAATATTACAATCTGATGTTAAATATGGGCTATTTTCTCCAATTCGTATAGATAAGGGGCTAAAAGTGTTAGAATATAAGGTGAGGGGTTAAAACTTATCAACTTTATAAGGTTAGGGGTGAAAACCTATCAACTTTGTAAGGTAAAGGGTTAAAAGTATCATATTATAAAGTTAAGAGTTAAAACCTATCAATTTTGTAAGGTGAGGAGTTAAAAGTTGGTTTTAGCCAATAACAGTTGCCTAAATCAGATGGGGCAACTGTTCATCACAGTTGAACTTCATTTTAAATCAGAGGGCATCGTGTAATTATAGCCCTTAGAATCTTATGATAAAAATTGCCACTACCAAGTATAAAGAACAATGAATAACTTGGATTTCTTGTGATCATTAGAACTGAGCAATATATATTTTGCTCCTGTTTTGGGGAATCATCAATAATCAAATAAAGTCAAAGGCATGCTCCAAATCATACAAACATTATCTAAACACAACAGATAGTCTGGTTTGCTGGGTTGTCCACCAAAAACAGTTTTTAGACAGGCAACGCATTTAAGATTGTTAAATGCATCAACTATTAAATAACCATATAACATTTAATACAGAGAAATATAGGAGCTCCAAACAGAATGCAAACTGCAAAGCAAGTTCCCTCCATTAATGTTACAGGTGTGAGATTCAATCGATCTGTAACATCACCAACTGCCCATATACTGGGTATGTTGGTGCCTGAGTAGTCATCCACCTGCAAAATAAAGGGAGAATCAATCTCACTCATGCACTCATCTTCTATGTTGTATAAAATCTTTTCATAAAGATTGCAATTTGAACTTGATGATGCCATCAGACTTTCCTTCGTAAAACAAAAGATAAAAACCATAACCATTAAAAAGACAAAGGCCTGCGAAAAAGTTGAGCCTAAAGTCGTTTTATAGCCACAATTTCTTTTTAAAAGTATAAGAGGGAATCATATTAAGAGGCTGTATAATCTATTAATATAATAACAAATTATGAAAATTTATCTTTATTTTTTAAAATTAAATTGATTAAATTTGTATGTTTAAATCTTTTTCCACATCTATTGTTTAAATAATTTTTTATGAATAAATACATTTAAAACAACTAATTATCAAAAAGGAAAAAAAAAGATATATTTATAGTGATAGTTAATTATTATTATAAAAATTTATAATTAAATATATATATATATATATATAGAGATATATAAACAAACTGTGCAAGGTGCGGGTTGAGGTCTGGTTAGTATAGTAAGCATAAAAATAGGTTGACTGAATGATAGATCATAATTGGCTTATTGATTTTAACTTTTCTCTTTGGTATTATTTTATAGATCCATTAAATTAATGCTGTGTATTCGTTAATATTTTATTATTTTAGGTGCATTGTACCTTATATTTCATTGTAATTTTCAGCTCTGAACAAGTCAGTCTCCTCAGTAGTGAATTATTGATCATGCATGCTTGTCTATGAATCAATGTAATACAATTAGCTTTTAATTATAATATTGTCGAATTGCTTAACTTATCCTAAGAAACTCTTTACGTTTTACTGAATCTATTCTCTCTTAATTACTTTTGTAATGAATTAATTCTTTGAGTGTTTACAATCAAAAGAAAGAAATATATTCTGTGGTTCTATTCTATTCTTTCTTTACTTTTTTGTGGTTTAAATATTTCATCAAGACCCGGCCACACCATGCATAGCAAGCGCAACCTAAACCTTTGCTCTATACTGTCTCTCGCTCTCAAGGGCTTCATCATTGAATTTGGTTGTCATCCCGTGTCCCAAATTTGTATTCCCTTGGTTTGGTTTCTTTTGATAATTTTTTCCTTTTTACTTCTCCATTTATAATTATATTACATGTTTCTCTTTTTTATTTCATATTTAGAACTAAGGAGCACCTGCAATCTCTATCTATACAGCAAGAATCCAAGTCTAGTTATTTCTTCCATATGGTAAGCATATTATAAGAAAGTTAATTCTTTGATTATTTGCTATGGCTTTGTGCCAGCCCGATAATTTACATTTGGTGTTCATGCTCTCTACCTTACTGTAGTGTGTACCATTCTAGAGAAGATTGCTTGCCTGATCAAGTCTCTGTTTATATACAGCTACTGCAAGGTGTAGAATATGAAATTATATTTATATATGCTTTTCTGTTATAATTAGCATTATATATACTTTTTATGCTTTGACAATGTTGTAATGGCAATACGTAGTGATTCAAGTACTACTGCAATTGTTCCTTTTCTTTTTAAACACGATAATTATGAAGATTGGAGAATTTACATTCAACACTATTTTTAGCTCAAGATCTTTGAGGTATCCTTGAATCTGGGAACAATATTTGATTTGGTTTCTTCTTTGGACGATGTAGGAAATTGGAGGAAAGAGAATGGTGCAGCTCTACATGTAATTCATACTACATCGTCGGTAGAAATTTTTGCCCAAATAAAGAAATCAGTTCGGTAAAAGCTGTTTGGAATAAATTAGCCAAAATGCATCAAGAGTGGCAATCTAAATCGAAACCAGAAACTGACGTGGAGGGATCGGATGGCAAGATTGATTTAAAGAGATTCTCAATTAAATTTTGACTGAAATATAATTTGATTATAATTTCTTAATTATTGACAGGAAAAGAAGATGAGATAATTGAAATGACTCAATGTGAAGGGTCGGACAGATGTAATTTTTATTGATTTGAATAAAGTCTCAATTAAATTAATTTATTGTGAAATACTTACAATTTTAATTAGTATCTTGAATTTTTGATTATTCACAGGGGAAGAAGATCAGATGACTGAAGATCCTTGCCTTGTGGATTTGAGAAAGAGCATCTGCAACGGAGATCGAAATGCTGTTAAGCAGTTTTTTGTTTATGACAAGCATCCACTAGATACTATAATATTATCAAACGAAGGCTACACTGCTATTCATGTTGCAATACTGGCAGGGAAATATGAGATTGTTAAGGAATTGATAGAGATGATGTCGGAAACAGATCTGGAAAAAAAGACTGCGGGTGACAGTGGTGGTCACACGGCTCTTACCTTAGTTGCAACGACGGGAAGAACAGACATGGCAAAATGCATAGTCAAAGAGAACAGCAAATTACTTACAATTGAAAATGATCGAGGCTTTATCCCAGTAACTGCTGCATGTGCTATGGGCCACAAGGATATGACACGCTACCTTTATTCTGTCACCCCACCCGAAGTCTTCCTACCACAACGTGGCAAATATGGATTCGATCTCGTGAGGGCGGCCATGGAAAACAAAATTTTAGGTAACGGTATAAGCTAACTTTTTTATTTTATATAGTGTCTTGTGTGTTAGGGATCCAAGATGCATGAGAGGAGTTAGTGGCCCGGCCCACTGCCTTCACCAGCCACACTAGTAGCATATATATCTTAATCGGGAAAAATTTTTAAATTAAATGTAACATTATTTAAAAATAAATCTCTAAAACTTAAATTTAAATTAAAGTTTTACCTGTTTGTGAATATTTTACGCAAATTTTTTATGGTACCATGTTTAAAAATGTAAATTTATGATTTTTAGTTAATTTTAATTAATAGCATATATATCTTAATCGGGAAAAATTTTTAAATTAAATGTAACATTATTTAAAAATAAATCTCTAAAACTTAAATTTAAATTAAAGTTTTAC